AAGATACCGGAGAGCACCCAGACATCTGTCGGTGCCTCACTCCCTCACTCCTGTCAGCCCAGTTCCTCACAGATAACACTTGCAGAAAGTGGAAGCTCTAACTAAATCACAGGGAATGCCATTGTTTTCCTAGACTCAGAAATCCAGAAAAGATAAATGATACTGGGTAGCTTTTGTAGCACATAATGCTTTTCATCATGCAGCTAATATTCATTCAAAACCAAAGGGATTTAAACAACAAAATTCTGCTTATAGACAATGTCCAAATCACCATAGAAAAGACTGTTAACCAAAACCCAGTGAGGCATTGGCTCAGCCATTAAACACCTCTAGATGTTTCTTAAATACATAACAGCTGGATTTTTGAGGAAATTAGAGTTCCAACAGTCAAGAGTTCATAATTTTCAGAGCATAGTTATTTTTGTCTTTGCCCTTGGAGTTATTCACTTTAGACATGCAATAGCCTTTGAGTGTCTATCCATCTGCATTTAAAACCAGACACTTTCAGTGTCTCTGCAACATCTCTGATATCCTTTAGACATCCATTTTAGGATGAAATGATCCCATCCAAAAAACCACACTTTACTAAGAGGCAGTGGTGGTCTAATCAAAGGTAAGCATTAAACACAACCAGTTTCAGTCAGATGAATGCTCCTCAAAGTGAGTACAACTGCTAGAACCTAGTGTCTGTGCTGTAAGGAATCCTGGACATTTTTTCCACAATAAATGCACATTTTTCCTTTTTTTTTTTTTTTTTTTAGGCTATCTTTTTCTTTTTAAAATATCTTGTTAGATTTTGTTATGCTATAATGAGGAGATCCAGAAGACTTTTGCCTGCATTGGTAAATTATTTGGGACTGGGACATGGGATCAAATACTGCCTATGAGTACAGCCCATACTGGTAGTGCAATCCCAGGAGTAAGACTCGCCCATGCCAATTGTAATGGCTGGAGCAGGGAATAGCATCAGCCAGGGACTGTTCCCAATAAGCAGTTTGGACTGGGAAAGGCAGTTACAGATGTACAGAAACAGACATGAGATGGGAGGTGGTTCGCTCTGTTTGACCTCAGTGCTAGAAAAAGATCCTCGGCTAATTTTATTGGATAGTATAAACATAGGTATTTCATCTCAAAACGCTGGAAGGCATTGCTGAATACTTCAGCAGAAAAAAAAGCCCAAATGGCTATGACATAATGTGGAAACTTGGCATTAGCCCAAAATAAGGTATTGGAGTAGTGATACATGATTATGATGCCTTACAAGGCCATAGTCTTTTTTTCTCACATGCATGAAGCTCCTTCTTTTCCTCTTTCTCACATAGTGCAGTGAGAGACATGGAACAGGCTTGTATTCTTCAAGGCAGCATCATCTGTCAAGTATTACTGAGGTGGAGGTATTGATTTTACTTTTGAGGTATGATGAAATGAGAAAGTTGGAGGTGGGCTGAGTGGTTTAATACAATGTCAGTCACATTCCTTCACTTGACATCCAGTGTCAGAGAAAACAAAAAAATGTTCACCTTTATTAGTAAATACAGCTTGAAAAATCTGATAATATGAATTCCTATGGACAGCGGCTCTTCATTGATTTGGTGCCTTCTATGTTTTCGGGCTCATGACTGCACAAATTTATGGGAAATGAGGAAGCTGTAAGATTTAGATTTTAAACTTTCTCTTCACACATCATTTTTGACAGCTCTGATAACCTGATTTCCTGCCACCTCCCTGTGATTTCAAATCAAACCCGACTGAGCACTCAGAAAAAAAATTTCATTTGGATGAGTCTGCAAATAACTTTGTGTACTTCTCTATCTTTGTCTGTATTTGCATGATTCCACTCATTTCAGTGAGTGTTTGCACAGCTTTGAAAACTTGGGCACAAATTAATTAAACCAGAGCTTAGCTCATGAAGTGCTCCAAATCACTCATGAAAGTCGATGTGTCTCTGATGCAGTTTCACAGAGGAAGATGGAAAACTCAGGAGGCTTGATGGATACCTAGACCAGTACAACACACTGTAGCTGAATTTAATACTGCACTCAAACTGGTCTGTTCAGAGATAGCTCAGTTAAAAACAGCAGGGACTCTGCTTGCTTTGTATTGGTGGTGAAAGAAGAACAGCAGTGTCCTGTGGCATCAGCAAGATTCAAAGAGCATGAGAAACAAGCAAAGGGACTTCACTTGAATTGTTAATGAATTATGGAAATTATGATGTTACAGAAGGAACAAAGATAAAATGGATCGTTCTCGCAACCAAAGAAAAGAGAGAAAACTGAAGACTGTGCATTTATCAGAAGAGTAGATTCTGCTGCTGAGAACATTTTGGCAATGACAGAATTAAATACCATGAATTATGGAGATTATTTAATGTGTGTGACTGCTCTGAATAGAAGAAGGTACAAAGGCATGTCAAAAGATTGGGAAAATTAGCAGCTGAATTTGGCAGCCGGTGAGGAAAGAAGGCCATGTGCAAGTCATCATGACAGCCTAAACCGGTAAACAATTGGAGAGGGCTGAAATGTGGAGGGTGGGCGAGGAGCTGAGCATTGGATTGATGCAGTGAGAGAAGACTGCACGTGCATTTGGTGAAAAAGCCTCTCAGAAAAATGGACAGAGAAATCACAGCAATCATGCTCTGAAGAGGCTGGGAGGTGGGGGAGCAATCTAATAGAAAGTTACAACAGTCTACAAAAAGTAGGTGCTAGATGAGAGCTTGTTGCGGGTTGTTGAAACTGAAAGATCAGAAAGATTTGGGGTTATGTTCTTACAATGGTTTTGATTTAAGAATACTACCCCGTTCTATATTTTCCATAAAAAAATAAGTTTTAGCACAAAGTTCTGATACTATCACGTGTTTGCCTCCAAGCTAAATCTTCTCTTTTATAAATGATGTTATGCTTCCTCACAGGAGTAATAGTTTGAATGATTTAAATCCTTCTCTCCTTTGTAGGATGAGCTCTTGGTTAGAATTCATCCCCATGAGGCACCGTGATGTTCCCACTTGCAAGGACTATCCCTCAAAGGAATGTCAGCAATGTAGCAGAGCCCTTGAAACAGGAACATGAGGCTACTGACCCATTATTCCCATGGGACACCCGTAAGAGTAAAATCACTGAGTTTCGGGGCATTCGTTCTTTTAACTTTGGATATTTATCTTTAAAAGAAACCTTTTATCGGAAAAAATAACTTTATGTGCAATCCAGTCTTGTGCTGGTAAAAAAAGTTCAGTGTAATTTCCTTAGATAGTTGTTGAAAAGAGATCTGGGAGGTAAGAAATGTCAAAACACTGGTGGCATGAAATGGAAGGACAGTGGAGTCACCACTAGTGGCCAGGTTGTATTGACAGATGAGATGGAAGACAATGGAATCAGTGGCAGTGGGTAAATGGGAGGGGGAGGAGAAAAGGGAAGAGGAGGAGGAGAAGGGAAAAAGCACAGCATGACAGTATTTCATGATGGTGGAGCTGTGTTCAGAAGAGAGCATACGGGGCAAAGAGCTGTGAGCACACCATTGTAATGAAAACAGTGCAAAGTGCAAAAGCTTTTTATTTCCTTCTCTTCACTTTCAGAAGCCAGATGATCCCATGCCTCCAAGGCACCTAATCAGAGTTAAAAGAAAAACAATGAAAAAAAAAGTGAAAGGAAAAAACCCAATAAATTCTGTTTGTGAATAAAAACAACTATAACTATACTTCTGTTTGCACAGATCTATTAGTGTAAGTATTTTAATTCGATTTATTGTTTTGGCCATAATTTCTCAGTGTGGCATGAAAGTAATTAAAATAAAGAGGTCTGCAGAGGCATCTAATTCCCTCTTCCCAGCTGTCTTCTGAGCTTAAGGCTGGTTACAGCCACAAACCAAGCAAAGAAGTTTGTTAAACATTTATTTCTTATCTGTATTGCAAAAGTGTCTTTCTTTTCCCCTCACAGAAAAGGGTCATCGTGTGTCAGTCTGTCAGTCGAATTCCTTTCAACCTAAACCCTTATTTTATACAACCATTTTTATTCATAATTGTAGCTATGGGGCCTGATCCTATTTTCACACTAGAAAAGGCAGTCGATTTCAATCCAGCCAGTCGTGGTCAGACTTCTGCAAATGAGATTAGAATTGAGCCTATGTCAAACACAGTAGAGCCAGAAAAAGATTTATTTCTATCATTGAACTCTTCGGGTGAGGATTTGTCCAATTAAAATGTATTATCTATTATACTTTGGACAGCATGACCAAACCAAGCACTCAAAATTGGATGTTTGGAAGGAAAAGATTTCTGTTTTTCACCTTCAGAATAGGATCATCTGAGAGCTTTTGTTGATCTGAGAACTTTTCTGCAATTCTGCAAAGATCATGAAGACCTGCACCAACACCTTTGGCAAAAGGCCTGGGCTGTGTTCCGAAGAAAAGAGAGGGTGTTGTTCTTCAGGGTGTTCTGAGTTTGAAGCTTCACACCCTTTTATAGCCATTGATGCATTGGCTAGAAAATTTATTGCACGCCCATACCTTCAGGAAATTTGTGTTTCTGGGGTGAGCAAGGGCTGGTGTTCACTTCAGGCTTGTACAAGTGACCTGCCAAATCTTGGATTTCTCCTGACCCCCATTCAATAGTAAGTAAAATAATCCCTTCTCTTTAGCACTAACGAGCAAACAGATGCAATCAAAACAATCAGCCTCACCCCCAGCAGTGCACATCCCTATTTCACCAAACGCCCAAAACTTACCAGAATGACTCTTGCAAACTTTCAGTGCCACACCCGAAGTGTTCTTGAGTGAAACAACTTGAGACATAGTTTTCAAGAACTGCCTCTGTGTCTGCCAGCTGTTTCTACAGAGCACCCCCAGGAGCAGTGTTTCCATTGCCAGGCCTGTTTATGAATTTTTTCCTGTTTGAACCTTGAAGATTTCCACTGTGTCTCTGATGGAGGTGACTATTGTGCATCCCATCATTTACCCTGGATAGTCATGCCTGAATATTCACAGTAAGTGTCTAAAGTATTTAGCATCAGTAGTTACCTAAATGCCCAGTGAAATACCAGGAGACATATTAATTTTAAGGGATTCTAGGCATCCACCAATCTTTGAGAGTCTGAGAGTAAGCTTTTTTCATTCGTCTTTCATCCTTCTTCAGTACGTTGACCTTCATTTCTTTCCCTTGGCTTTCCCTTTGTTCCTTCCATTTCTTGAGGTCTCTATGATGCTCTGAGTATTTGATCCTGTCTCTCAAAAGACACAGAAATCCTGATCCTGTGATGCTCTCAGGGACTTTTGCAAGTCCCTTCTGCTTCCACTAAAGTCTTAAAATAAAACTCCTTTTCATTACACTTTGGCATTCATTTTTGGATATGATACTAGGATAGTGTTTACCAAAACTATAAAAAGAACATGAAAAGCTGAAGTGATGAAGGAGGAAAGTAAACAGGAACACAATACTCCTTAAACTAAAACCTTTTAAACTTAGATATTGCATTCTAAAGATGCCAGCAGTGCAGATAAAAAGGAATCACATAAAGAAATGTGAACCACAGCCCCGTTCAAAGGACTGCTCTGTAATTAGGTTTTTTCCTCCTGACAGGCTCACTGAATAACTGTTGAAAGACACACTGATGGCATTAGAAGCAGGGGTGCAGTGCCCATGCCACCACAGCTCCATAGCCATCCTACTGCCCTGCTACAGGGTCCCAGGGTCCCATCATTACACTGATACCCACTCTGAAAGGCAGATTTCAGTGTGAAATCAGTCCTTCTTTTGTGGATCCAAGTATGGTCAAAGAGGTCACCGACCCTCAAGCTCTCCACTACCCATTCTAGCTGAGAAATGACAAGTGATCTTTAGAGCAGTCCTAAATCCATGCCAGTGCAAAGAAAACCTCTCAGTCTTTTCAGTCCATGCCTCACTCAAGTCAATTAAGAGCCGTTTTTCAGCACAGCGTAGGAAATAGCTCTTGAGGACAAAGGAATGAGTGATGCCAATCGTCTCATTTACTGTTCATACCCATTCGAGAGATGTGCCTCAGGAACTGACAATTGCTGGTGTCAGCTACCCCTTACAGGGTGGTTCCATCACAGCCAGCCTTTGCATAAGCAAATATTAATTATTTGTATCCACTGCAGCTTCAAGAAGATTAGTGCAGCTTTTTAGGCTGTGCATAATGACTTCCAGACATGAGCTAGAAATAAAGGAAGTCAAGAAATGTTCATTATAAACATAAATGGGCATCACCTGTGTTTAAATAGGATATATTGCAGTATTAGTAGGCATTAATTATTAGTCATATGACATTTATAAAATCAGTATTTAGAGGGATAATTAGTTGGTAGTTTACGTTCACAATTTCATGTTCACCCAATCAGGTGGTCAGTGTACTGGGAAAAAATATTAACTAGTTTACCTGTGTTCAGAGACTACTTTCTGAAGCTTTCAGGATATCTGGAGGTAGGAGACTGAGCCTAATCACAAGTTCAGTGCCAGGGAATGGCAACTCAGCACAAAAACCTTCTCTTATTAATGTATCATCTAGAATACAATCACCTGATTCTGTACAATTATCAGGTGAGTTTTGTATTAAATTATTTTAATCTGTATAAAGTAAGTAACTGCAGACAATGGTATTCTAAAAATAGTAAACAAGTGTATCTCACACAAGCTGGCTTTCTGTTCAGCATGGGAAAAGCCCCAACTCATTACTTATTTTCTGACCTTCTTACTTCCCACATTTTCTTATCCTCTTTATTTCCTAATAAGTAGCAGCTTTTAACTAACATTTTATCAAGCAGTTTTCATATTTTTTTAATGTTATGCAGCTTTAATATTGAAGTATACAAAATGTTAATGTTTAAAGGATAGGCTTGATACACTGAAGATGCATCAGAAAATCGACAGGTAAGGTACAGTTCATACGACTTCAAAAATAGAGAGCTAGAGCACAAAACTAGTCAGCTCATCCCTGTCAGTGAGAAACAGGGTTTCAAAAATACATTAAGTGGAAGCCTTCATGGAGGCTGCTGATGTGACAGTGAGACCACGTGCTCCTCCCCGGGCTGAATAGGCATCCTGCTTTCATTGCCCAGGAGATGAACAATGTAGAGCTCTATTAATCACAATAAGGATTGCAATAAATCATAACAAGGATTCTGTCCCAACCGAGGAATGAAGCAAAATCCAAATCTGGGGCTGAATGCAGAGAGAAGTTAATTCATCAGGGAATTGTCAGCAAAGAATGTACCTTAATCTTAATTACAGGTAGACCACCATGTTAGAGCCCTGAAATATGTCTAGGTGTTAATACAAAAAGCAAACAAGGTGTCAGCATAGAGTGACGTGCTAATCTCACATCCTGAGGTGCTGCTGGATACAAACAGCAGTGCTGCTTAAATTCATAGGCGCCTCAAGGCAATAAAGTATCCTCTTCTTTATATGCTGTGCTGCCCCAGATGTAACATGTGAGCCAACAGAAAAGTACTTCTCTGCCTTCCATGCTGGAAGCCTAGGCATCTTGGAATGCTAAGGAGATGGTATTTTTTAATTTGCCTTTCAGCATGGTGGGGCAGAACATGAGGTTTCTTGCACTCAGACAAAGTAATCTGTGCAATCTTGTGGTCAGTCCTCTTGTGTGATACTAAGGCAAATGTAGTTGGCAGTTGATGATTTTTATATGTAACAGAGCTGTCCAGATTCCCTTTATAATAATGGAGAAAGGATTAGATGTTTTTAGGCTGAAATGCCTTTTATCCTAAAGGACATTAGATGATTAATTCTTTTAAAGTGCAGATGAGGACACAAAGATGATGAGGGGGGTGAACCATCTCTTGTAAGAAGACAGGCTGAGAGATTTGGGGTTATTCAGCCTGGAGAAGAGAAGCTCTGAGAGAGCTCATTGCAACCTTCAAGTTCTTAAAGTGAGCGTGTAAAAAAGAAAGAGACCAACTTTTTACACAGGTAGATAGTGATAGGACAAGAGGTAATGACATTAAACTGAAAGTGGAGAGATTTAGATTAGATATTAGAAAGAAATTATTTATTCAGAATGTGGTGAGACATTGGCACAGGTTGCCCAGAGAATATATGGCTGCCACATCCCTGGAAGTGTTCAAGACCAGATTGGATGGGGCCCTCAGCAACCTGGTCTAATGGAAGGTGTCCCTTCTAGGAACACCAGATGAGCTTTAATGTCCCTTCCAACACAAACAATTCTATGATTCTAGAAGAGTTTTTCTTCAAGTGAGAGATTCTCCTTGATCTGTGATGCTGAATAAAGTTCTTCAACTTATATTTTTATCCCAAGGTGAAAAATCCATGAATTTGAGAGTGTAAAGTACCTGAACTGTCACAGACACCAGCCAGAACTAGTTTCTGACCAAATTTAAGGATGTTTATTTAGGAAAAAGAAAGAAGTAATCAGTCAAAAGAGTTTGTGCTTTCTTGCCAAGCTCCTTGCCTCTCAGTGCCATCTTCAGCAGTGTATTGTCAATGTCGTTTATTTTTTTGTCTAAGTGCTATGCCAGAAAGTTTTCTATCACTTCAGATTTTCATCTTCAAACATATTCAAGTGATCTGTCTTCTCTTATCAATTTCTGCCATCATTACTCCCCTCTTTTGGATATTAAAGCATTGAAGCTCATGCAAAGCAATTATTGCTTTTTTTCCTGACTTGGCAGCTCTTATTTGTAGTTCATACTGTTTTCCTTTCAAAGTTTTTTCCTCCCAAACTTTTTTTTCCTTGTTATTGCATTTTTTATTTTACTAGTGACTGTTAGCTCTTCCTTCCTGAGGTGACCTACAAAGGATTTTTTTTTCTTTAATTGGACTTATGCTTTGTCTCTTTCTGGAACACAAAGATATTCTTTCTTTTTGTTTGTTTATTTACAGCAATTATTTTTTCTTGACTATTTCAGGAATGTCAGTGCTGGCCTTTTCTGATTTTTCTGAATGTTACTTTGAATCTTCCCAAGGACAGTTATTATTAGCTCTTACATTGCAGCTGACTGGATATGGGTGTTGAAAGTTTAATCTGTTATCTCCATAAAATATAATTACTTGTACCCACCAACCTTGAAACGAGCCCATATTTATATAAAAAACCTAACTATTTCTCAGTGAAGCCAAAATTTACTAGCTGCCCTGGCTCCTCCAGAAATGTTCTCCAAAACTGCTTGCTTCATTAGATATATATCCTCTTGCCTAAATCTCAGCTAGGCTTTCATATCTACATACATGTGTCTAATAATAATAAAGTAAAATCTTACAACTTCCCACTCCCTCTCCCATAAAGAAACATGTTGTATCTAACTTCCATCAAAACTTCCCAAAGAATATTTCACTGACACTGTGCAGTTGTCTAGTTTGTAGTTTCTCATCCCAGTATTAGTGCTTGAAACTGGTCAGGTGAATCCGACCTTAAATGCCTGTTTTTCTTCTCTGGGCACAAACTACAAGTAACTCTTGTAGCAGTGCACTTTGTTAAGTGAGATGAGTTCCATGTCCTGTCTCCATCCCCTCTTTTCCCTTCCCCAGTGAGTTCCTCTCACCCTTCCTAAGCAAGGCTATGTGGTTTGCATAAGAACACACCACATGCAAAGCTGTCCATCAGTACTGGCCTCTGTGATGACAGAAGCAGCATGACCTCGAAAACTTTATGCACAGTTTATGTCTTGACATACAGAGACCACATGCAGTCTGTAACACTGGAACTCTAAAAAACATGTGGCCAAGTGAAGACTTCTGCCAGCCCTAAGGGAATGAAGCCCGAGCTGAAATGCACCTGTGCCACCACAACAAAGCACTGCCTAAAAGAAAAGCTCCTTGTGTCTTTGTTCCTTACATTTTCCACAGCTTATTTTAAAACTGCTTTTGGTGACTATCAGGGCCTTTATGTTAAGTATTTCTTCTCACTCCCCAGGTTTATTTTTTGCCCCAATGGATTCTCATCCCTCTCTTTTCTCAGTTTGTTTTATTACCCTGAGTAGACCAAGATCCTCTAGTCCTCTCTTAACAGAGACCTTTTTCCTCTGATCTTTTTTGTAGACCTTAGTAATTCCTCTTCCTTGGTAATGCATAGCCAGGAGAATATTTGATATAAGTCCTTTAAAGGGACTTTCTACAGGGCATTAATTATCCCTCTCAGTGGATGTTAATTCTTTACAGTGTGGTAGGAAATTGCATAAGTGAGAAGCAAATTCATAGGACAGCTCTACTCCGTGAAATGTCTCTCCTCAAATTTTGCTACTATGGCTTTCATTGTAGAATCATTTGGGTTTGAAAAGACCTATAAGATCATTGAGTCCAACCACTGAGTCTGGCTTTGTTGCCATTTGCTGGAATAAACAGCATCCTGTGTTAAAGTAAAGGGATCTGTGCTTTGAACACCAGTGAAGAGAAGTAGCTGCTGAATTGTGTCCTCGCCTGCTGTGGCCAACAAGCTCAATGACAGAGATAAATGCAAGTTGGCAGCGTTACTGGATCCATATTTTAAGCAAAAACTGAAACCTCACTTCCACAAAGTGCTGACATGGCTATGTAGAAAGATGAACCATTAAGTGCAGGATCTGTCCTCCCTCCTTTACCTGCTGTGCTGAGTTCTCTGCAAGTTGGTATTTCACATACCAGTGGGAAGAGCCATCTGATAAAGCTAAGGAAGTTTTCTGAGTGGAAAAAAAAAATACCCTAAAATGAACTAAGGTCAAAAGCTCTGTAAGGGACAGTGAGCCTAGGGCAAAGGTGTTTGGGGCTACAATGTGACAGGAGACATGGGCTGGGCCACGCAAAGCATCAGTCAAACACAAATCTAATTCAGTTGTCTAAATATGTGTCCAATGCCATCTGGTAGGCCCTAAAATAATGTGTCTGGACTGCAGCTGCTTATCACAATGGGCACAGGTTTCCTATACATGGGATGTGGTATCTTTTAGCTCTGTGTTAATGTCTTAGATGTTCTATTGCCACTATCTCATATGCCCTAAATGTAAACTGTTAGATGTATCTGTCTTCAGCTCAAGTTGAATCCCACCTTTGTACTGGTCAGATGAATCCCACCTTGTGCTTATATCTTGCTGTTCATGCTTGCAAGGGGAGACTGTGGGCTGATCTGAAGGTATGGAAACAGGACAAGAGATGAAGACCTCTGTGCTGGTCTGTTGGAGGACATAGACACACTCTTTGAGACCAAAGCATTGTCATTTTTGATTTCTTGATTACTTGGTCCTAACTGGAAAGACATTTGTTTCTATATAATGCAGCAAATAATATCTGGTAACAAGACTCTGGTTACTTTAACCCTCTCTATTCCAGGAATAGGTTGATTAAAATACAATTTTTTATAATAATTTGTTTCTCTTTTGTCTTAGAGATTCATTCATCCACCAGGAGAAATTTCCAGATTTGTCCTACATTTCCAAATAATCTTGTCTGATTTCAAGTGATTGACTGCTAAGCGACAACCATTTGCAGTGCCTTCAGTCAGGTTTCTGAGTGATCAGCTATTCAAAAAATTAGGTGCATATTATCTAATGGAGAAATTCCTGCTTCCTTTACATGAAATGAAATATCAGGATAGTCCATGTAGGCCATGTTTTCTATGTTTTAATCCCTACACCCATTATTTTCATGGAGAAGTTGGCCATATTTCATATATGCAAGCTGTTCAATTGCTTACACAAATGGTAATGCTGATATCAAATTATATGGAAATGCCAAATATATTTCGCTGTTTAATATTACATTTAGGAAAGCCCAGAAGAAAAGGTCTAGAGATTAATCTTAAGAAGTATATTGATTAAAACTTTATGTCTAATTAGAGGGGGTTGGAGCTATGAAGCTAATGCAGCCACGATTTTTCAATATTTCCCACAGCCAGTGTCCCTTTGTGCTGCCTGCTGGGTGATTCTTCAGAATTATGTATTACCTTCAGCTCCGTTCAATTTGCTCCCATACTACCAGTGTCTGACAACAACAAAAATGTGTGCTCTTAAAAGCATAGCCATTATGGTATCTTCTTTTATTTTCTGGTAGTTACAGTGTGTTCTATTACATTACATGAAAAATAGAGTCTGTCTCTTCCTTGATTAGATATAGAGGAAAGATGGGCACTGTATTTTGTCAGAATTTACAGGAGGTGATAGGGGTAAACGAATAAAATATTCTAAGTTAGTCTTTACCTTGTTTTTTCCTTTGCTGACTGTAGAGATCTCTTCATATTCTTTCCTTTTATATAACAGCCTTAGCCAGAAGCACATTTTTCTTATTCTCTGATCTTCATCATTTTTAGTGGATGCTGGAACTTACGACTGTGGTTCCAGGTCTTGCAGCAGATGGCAGCTTTCTGAGCAGGCTGGGGGGAAGATTTTTCTTGCAATCCCTGAAAGAAGGCATTTAAATAAAAGGGTTACAGCTGATGGTCTTGACCCCTAAAATTCTATAAAATCATCACTGACTGAGAACTGTCTTCTCTTTTGCTCTGTTCATGTGTATGGAAGTGAAGGACAAATCTAAACCCAAAAAATGGAAGTGAAGATTTTTCTTCCCACTTCAACCTTTAGTGCATACGTTTGTCTCCTATTTCCCGGAAGGGTTTGGGGATATTTCCCATGAAAGCTGCCACAGAAGAACCAACACAGGAAAAATGTATGAGTGAAAAATTCCTATCTATTATCTATTACTACCTCTACAAAAAAAATAACCCAATGCAAGACCATCATAGTCTGCCTTCTTAAAGGAGGCTGGTAGTTTTGGGGGACCTCATTTTCAAAGTAACTAAGTATCCAAAAATGCAAGTAAATCCTCTAGAACCATTCTTGACATTTCACATTCAAGCCATGTGTCTTCCCCTGGTCATGATAATTTTTTTTTTCCCAAGCCTGAAAAAGACAACTTTGGAATTGTAGGAAGATTATGACATTTTGGGGGGAGGAGGGGGGAGAGATTCCATTCATGCAAAGCAAAGAAAAATGAAAGTCTTCTATAAATGAGCCATAATCCATTTCCCATGCCCAACCAAGATGTCAATATATCTTTAGCCTGACTTATGTCTCAGTTCAAACTCGATATTGCTAAAACAACATTCCTAATCTCCACCTCTTCCCTCAACTTGCATTCTTCTCTCCTGTTCAGCCATTCTGAAAAATAACAGCATGATACTCATCAATCAGGCTTATCATTTGGGCATGATATTCACCCAGATGGATTTCTCTCCATCACATCAAGCTGTTTCTAAGTCTCACAGACACTTCCTGAAAAAAAGCTGCAAATATTCTAATCCATCTATTGTGTTAAGTTGTATCCTGGTTCTAAGCACCTGATGTCTGAAGCCTCAACAAATAAAGTTCTGCCCTGCCTTCTTTCCTCTTCATATTTTCTCCTGACTCTCATCTCATCTCTTTTGCAATGTCTATAAAAACTCAATACCATTCAAATTAGGTGGGTGCTGCAAACTACTGCCTGTAACATCATCAGTTTCCTTACAATTGCCTTTTTGCTTATCTGTTAGAAATTACCTGCTTAAAGGAGTCACTTTTTCTTTTATATATTTACACTAGCTCTAGTGACTACAGTAAGATTAAAAAAAAAAGATAACTACTGTATTTAAACTCAATTATTCAAACCATTTCTAAAAGTGAACAGCTTTTTAAAAAATACTTTGAAAGAGCTAGCTCAGTTCTAGCCAAATATCAGAGTAATCTTGTAAGAGCCATCCCCATCTTTATTGAAGATAATGACCTGAAATAAAGGTATATTTGAAGACATTTGGAGCCATCCTTCTTTATAAGACTTCAAGGTATAGATTATAAATGGGATCTCTGTTTACCTCTCATCTTTACTGAATTGATAATTTACTTTATTCCATCTTGGTTACTCTACAAAACAAAGCTAATGCCTTCTAATAATGGTTGGCACAGAATATTGTGCTACTTGCACATGTTTACATGAATTTTACATCAATGAATAAGTAAAGTAATGGTGCCTGTCAGTGCATTATTTATCATTACTTACTGAATTATAAGTGCATGGCCATAGCTTGCTGGCAGTGAGAATCTGCACAGGTTGCTCTAGCAAATGGAATTTTTTTGTGATTTTAGCTTCAGCTGCAACCTAGTGGCCGGCTGTATGAGCTGTGATTCAGCTGTCAGTAAAATAGAGCTGGGATGGTACAAAATGCCTCCAGACTGACTGCTCTTCAGGGTTGTGTTATTGTGATCTTGTGCCAGAGCCTTTCAGGCAAGTACAGCTGAGTGGGGACTTTGGAGGCCTCCTGGAGGGAGGATCCCTGTTACATCTGCCAGAGCCAGGCAGGTGTTTCAGATGTTCTGGTGCATCCCTAAAGGTACTGAAATCTGAGAGCAGTTGTACTGAGTCCCTGGGTCATACATAAACCTTTCTGTAGACACCTATAATGGATGTGAATTGAGGCAGAAATACTATTCAAGGTGTCTAGACTGTGTTAGCACACACTGACTGACAGACAGTGGAGAGAGGGATATTCCTTGAAAGTTGATCAGTTCATCTTAAAACACAGCAAATTAAATGATCTCTGGATATGCCTTGAGGACGTTTTAATCTATCTGACCAGGCTAAAGTAATGCTATAACAGATGTGTAAAGTTTGTGGAAATAATTCCTGTCCCAAAATAATAAAGAAGGAAATAACAAGGAAATGGAACTTAATATTTTTACTTGATAACGTCTACCTGCTGACACAAGAAAATGGGTTGAAGGGGGAGGTTCATCAGCACTGAAAGCACATGACCCTGTCAGATGAGGTGCAGAAATAGCTCCTAAGGGTTAGTACAGATCAATCTGAAAATCAGGAGCTCACGTTTTAGAAATGTGCCTACATGTGCCAAAACCCAAGATAATACGCCTAAATTCCCTTCTTATTGTTAAATTTCCCATGTACTTGTAGATGGCCGTGAACTGGGACTGAGCTTGAAAAGAAATCAAAATCACTTCACAACTCACTTCTGACAGACTGAAAAGGTGAAGAATCAATGTTAAGGAGCTTATTTCTGAATCTACATGTGCAGATTTTGAGAATGAGCAAGATACCAGCATGAACCCAGCAAGAGGCGACAGGAATTGGCAGCTGAACCAAACCCAATCTTCAGGAAGACAGTAAAATTCACTCCAGAGGAAAAGATTCTTACTAAGTGTAGCCAACTAGTTTTTGGTTTATTTTTCCATTCCCCTGTTTGCTGCTTTGTAACTAGAATAAGAGAGGTGGTACATCACCCAGATCCCAGAGTACAAGCCTTCAGGACACAGTTCATTTCACTAAACTGCTGTCCAGCAGTCAGCCTGACAGTCTGAGGTGGTTGTCTCAATTTCTACTGCATTAATTTCATCCAGGGACAGTTTTATCAAGCTTGTTTTGGGATATGCCTTTGGATGGGGTGAACTCATTCCAGGAGGTGCCCATTTCTCCTTGCTCACCATGAACGTTTCAGACCAGACAACAACTGTGTGATTGTAAAGGAAGGCTGGATGAACTGTTCCCTCCACATGAAAAAGAAACCCCTTAGCAGCTAAACAACAGCCTGCAGCTCGACATTAAAGTACATAGCTTGAGTTAGGAAGTCATAGAAAAGGATAGATTAATAGAAATAAGATTTCCTTTGGCACATTCACACAAATTGGTGTGCTGCAGGATCCCAGTCTTATGATGGAAAGAAGCTTCTTTCTTGAGTTACCTCTGACATTCCCAACATCCTGTGCAACACCACTACATCTGCATTCAGCCTTGTTGCTCAGGTTTAAATTGACTTAATTAGTAGCATTGATTGAAGTGAGAATCATGGCGTTGGGGGAACTTACATAATAAACTTTCAGTACTTTTTGCTAATTTAATTCTGACTTGCCAAACACTGGAGTGATAGTCGTAGATTCTCAAGCAAAATGAAGTGGCTATTGTACTGGACCTCGACCCAGGTTCTATCCTACCCCAAGCTAATTCTAACATTAACTCAGATAGTCAGTTAAAACAAAACAATGTTTTAAAATAGTCTTATCTGAGTAGCTTGTTGTGATTCATGAGAGCAGTTTCCTATACCTGCTCAAACTGAAGCCACCCTGGATGTAAGTCAGTAACACATCCGATCATGGGCTGTTCTCAGCTGACCTCTGGGGGAATGTTTGCATCCATTCAAAGCTTCTTCTATTGAACACAACCAGTCTCCTCTTCTCTAGAAGAACTGTTATGCCTTGGGCTTGGTAAGGTTTTAGCAGATGATTCCCTCATATCAATAGATTTCACGGTGTTGCTTCATATCTATGAACAAAATCATCATGACTGTAAGTTTTTTGAGCTTTAAGTTTCAAACTTCGGTTCACACAAGAATTGTGCCTGGGGCAGGATCTAAGTTTGTCACAATTCTCAGAGAGGAGAGGAGATGCTAAAAAAGGCTGACCCATCAACAGGTTTTCTGTTATTTCCCTTGCATGCAAAGTGATCTGTTCCAAGTTATTTTAGCTGAGAGTTCACTTTCAACATGCAGAACTGAGATTTGATTACACAGTTTATCACACCCCTGAGTTTAAATCAGGAGTAACACTCCCCGGTGCTTATCATGGCCGCTGCGCTGCATATAAAAACTACCAAAGCTCCTCCTCCATCAAGTGAAGGAAATCCACATAAACATCAGCAATCAAGGTGGCAGGTCCTGCTGTGCCTCAGCACCCAGCTTATGTATATAATTATAACTGTAATGTAGCTATACTTATATGTATTATATTGCATATAAATTAAGTGCATTATAGTATAATATATAATTATAGCTATAATATAGCTGTGCAATATGTATGATCTTATCTATCCAAGAAAGAGTATAAGCTATGAGCATATATATTAAAAAAACATACTTTATACTCTTCCATGCATAGATAACTACTAAATCAGGCCTTGCTATGTTTCTAGTTAAATGCAAAAATTGTCTTCACCAGCTTTTCTATCAACTTACCTACATCTTTCCCATGTGCTCTGCTCCTGTTGGTGTGTAACCTTCACAGGGTATATGGCATGCACTGCTGTGTGCAGCAGGTCTCTTCTGCAGAGATTGCATTTTGGTTATGATTTTCCCTCCACATAACAGAGAAGATATCCTGTTTGAGATTCTCTGACTACTGCTTCTACATGGAGCAGGATTGCAGTGTCTATATTTTTCCCAGTGATCCCTCAGGCAGCTGCATTCCCTTAAACACCTGAATGTTCCACATTATGCAGAGTGTTCTCTGTAAAGGGCTGGGATAAATGATGAGATTCAACTGCTGGGGAGTAACCTAATCAACATACAAGGTCACATTCAAAAGCTTGAATGTTACTTCTCAATTAGAGCTATGTATCAGGTGGAAAGCAAGGGATTAAATATTGATGATTTTCCTCACTGGGCTAGTGACTTTTTTCAGGGAAGCAGTTACAGTTTCTCAGCCTGTGTCCATGTGCCAGATGCATGCTTCCAATAGGGTTTTTTTTTTCTTCCCTTAAGTCAGTAAAATAAATCTCAAATAAAATTTGAAACAGTACCCGGTGTTTTTTTTTTCCCATTATTCTATCACACCATGGATATCACAAAGATAATTGGCCACATTCCATTTCCAATTGCTCCAATTTCCAATTCCAATTTCTACTATACTGATATAATTAGGGATTGCTTAGATACTGCAGAAGAGAATTAAGTTCGTATATCTTCGAAGCAGCAGGTACTTCCATGTGATGTGTGGTTTGTTTGACAGGAGAGGTTTCTGGAGGAGATCTAGGGGCAGTGTTGGTGCACTGAAACAGCTGAATCTGAGCACTGTGAGAAGTGTTCAGGGCAAGGGTGTTGGATCATCCTGGCAGTGAATAGAGCTTCTTCCCTCTCCTGCTTAAAAATAGTGACATGGCAAAATATTTCAGAGACCAGGAAAGATTTTCAGGCTGTGTCTTTCATAGCACCTGTTTTTAGGCTGTAGCTGTCACCAATACTCTGCAACCATAAGCATTCTGTGCTTCCTTTTCCTACTCATAGAATCACACAATGGTTTGGGTTGGAAGGGACCTTTAAAGGTCATCTAGTCCAACTCCCCTGCAGTGAGCAGGGAAATCTTCAGCTAGATCAGGTTGCTCAGAGCCCCATCCAACCTGACCTTAATTGTTTCTTGTCCCTTTTACCAGTGATTCATTGACTTCTCTCAGCATTTGTGCTGTGGAAGAACTGGGTGTTATTTTTCACTGATTTGTAAACTCCTTGAACAAAGGCTCCAGAGCAGTTTGAAAGTTTGCATACTGTTGGGAGAAAAGTTTTTGATACAAATATAGGTATTTATTTGAAACTGTTTATTTCCAAACTGAAATATTCACATATCCCCAAAATTCACACCCCCTCAGAGCCCTGTCCAAAATGGCCTTGAATGTTTCCAGGGATGGGACATCCACCTCTTCTCTGGGTACGTGTTCCAATGTTTTACCACCTTCATAATATAAAAATTCTTCTTTATGTCTAATCTAAATCAAATATCTTTAA